ACTAGCGTCGCTGAGAAGCACCGGTGGCGCAGGCGCCCGTTTCCGCAGCGCCGACTGTTGGCGAGCCCCGCGCATTGGCAACGGTCGGACGTGTGCATTTGTTCCTCGGCGACGGCCATCGAGGAGTATCCTCGACCAACGAGAAAAAAAACACACGCACGAAACCGAAAATTGCACGGGAATTGGACGTCCGAGCGACGGCGAGCCCCGCGCAGCCTCAAACGGCTCTCTCGGTGCAGTCGCTGCCCGCAGCCTTGCTGGCGCCACCGCGCCGCGGTGGCGCCAGGGCGGGTTAGTTGCGATAGGTGCAGGTCGTGCCGACGCGGCGGCGACCCCGCCGCTGGCGGTCAAGGTTCAGCGCCGGTAGTGGCTCAGAATCGATCTCGGCAACGAGCGAGGGGGGGAAATGAGAAGGGGCGGGCCTTCTGAGAAGGTTCGGAAGTCCCCTGAGAAGGTTCGGAAGTCCCCAAGCCTTCTGAGAAGTGTTTTAGACCTTCCCCGAAAAGACACAAGAACCCTCTCAGAAGGCGCGGCGGATTCTGAGAAGTCCCGCCGCCTTGTGAGAAGGCCTTCTCCTTCTCACTTCCCCCCCTCGCTCGCCGCCAGTTCAAGGTTCAGCGCTGGTAGTGACTCAGAATCAATCGATACTGAACGATCCGCCGTGTTGCTCAGCGCCGATCGCCCAAGGCCGAGCGATGCGCTCGATGTCAGGGAACAACGGGCCCTTTGAGGCTCCTGACGATCAGGAGGGCAAAAAACACACAGACACAATTAATCGTCGTCCCCTCGGGAAAATATGGGTAGATATGGGAAGTGGGAGGGAAGACGAACATCCGGAAAATATGAGAAGTGTAAATTTTGTGTGTGTCCCAGGGCCCTTGGAGACGAGCGTCACCAGCCCCACTGGGTCCGCGGGCCCTGGGTGGCGCTGGGGCTGCGCCGCCACCACGCAGAGGCCGCCGACCATGACTCCGACTGTCTCCCCCTGGCCCTGTACATCAAGTCGACGAGAGGGCGCCTCTACAGTCGGCCCAGATTAGTAGGTCGACGCTGCCAGCTCAAGGGTACCCTTGCGGCCTGCGCCTCGCGATTCGTGCCTTCTTACACTCCTGTGGCAATGTGGCCCCCGGAAGGGTCCTGTGTCCTCTCGCGTGTCCTGTCCAATCAAGTCCGACTGTACATCAAGTCGTCGAGAGGGCGCCTCTACGCTCGATGTCCCCTCGATGCGCTTCTACGGTCGAAGACGAGGGACGGCGTAGACGTCTGAGCTGCACGGACCCTCTGCTCGGGCGCAGAGCCGGGGCCCATTCTCTTCAAGATCCCCCCTTCTCCTCCGAAGGAAGAGGCCAGGGATAATCGAACAAGAACAACAACAACAACAACAACAACAACAACAACAACAACAACAACAGCAGGTATACGTGAATCGCCGCGGGAGTTGCTGAGAGGAGAGGGGGATCCAAGTGGACACCAAGGTGTGTTCTGTCCAGCCCAACATGGCTTAGAAGTGGGTTGCATGTGCCCTAAGTGACGTAAGGGCGCACATATCGGGGTTAAGTAAGCGGAACCCACTTAGCGGAGTTATCTCATCATATTTAGCCACATAAGGGGATTTGTCACACATTCAGAAGTGAGGTTCGGCCAGATAAACAACAATAATAAACATAACAACAATAACACCTATAAGCATAGCATCCACTTCTAACCCCCCCCATTAGCAACCACCGCGGCGATCCAAGTAGCCACAGTTTCTCGGAGCCCCGCGCAGATCTCTCGCATGGGCGCCAGGCTCCCCTGGCGGCGACTCGTGCCGTCGAAAGTTCATGTGCCTTCAGTTATTCGAAGAAGGAGCAACACCATGAACATAAACTTTTTGCGCTCCGTGCGGATTTCTTAAATCCGCGCTGGAGCCCCCTGGCGGCGCCTTTGGCACCGCTCCTGACGCGCTCCGCGCGCCAGGGAAGGGGGTCCAGCGCAGATCCAAGAAACCCGCGCGTAGCGCCAAAAGTTTACGTTTATGCATGTGTTTGTGTTTTGTTTTGTTCGTCTTTCTCTCTCTCTCTCTCTTTTTTGTTTTCTCTCTCTCTCTCTCTTTATCACTGGCCCCACATGCCCTGCACGGCGCGGACGCGGGTTCCTGCCATCAGCTCTAATTTGCTTTTGCCAGGCATTGCCCGGGAGTTCACACCGAAGTCTTCGGATTTGGCGAGGTGATGATACTCATCGAGCGCGCTCCATTACCCGCCAAGTGGCTACTCGCAAACGTACGAAAAGAATCACAGGTCTGTTTCGAGGTAGTGGATCGCGGATTCCTCGCGGTGGGTCCAGGCCATGTGCGAATAGTTGCTTTGCGAGTCGTGTAACGCGCTCGTCTAGATACAACCCGGTGTCGGTACGGAAGTCCGACAGGCAGACGTTGCAAGCCGATTGCCACAGAAGGGAGGTGTGTGGTACCTACATGGCTTCGTTGGCGCGCGGGGCCCTGGACTTCGCGAGCGAGGAGCCAGCCCCGTAGCAGGCATACAGTCGGGGCCCTGAAGAAGGAACCCTTTTCGTTGGGGAGGGGCTCCGTGTTCCTTCATTGTTTCGCAGTTTGCCTTAGGTTTTCCTTAGGTTTTCGATACGAAATCGAAGTTCAACTTATGGAAAATAGGGGCCTCGTTCCTTATCTAGGGTTCCTTAGGTCAACGCCCCGACTGTACAGCAGGCGCCCGTCCTTCCAGCAAGTGTATTTCCCCGGACATGGCCCCGCCACGCAGCACGAGTGTCATTGGCCCAAGATCGGCAATACTAACCCAGGCCGCCCTCGGAAACTCTCCCTTCTCGTCCTGTTTCGCGCCCGTCTCCGTTCTTGTTCGTCTCCACTGACCCCTGCTTGCTGGGTTTATTCATGTGAGGCATGCCAGGATTAGTTCGGGGTGGGCTTCCCATTCCCCTCGCAAGAGCACCCGCTTGATGGTGCCCTGGTTGGCCACTACGGGCGTTCCCCACAAGGGTGGTCCAACCTTGGGCTCACGGCCTGCCCCCAGCGGGGTCGCTGGCAATTGCCCGTGTCTGGCGAAGCGAAGATCGAGCATGTCTGTGTTACATTGCCGCGGAGGTCTGTTTCAGCGGGCATTATGCTACACATCGCAATCGTTACGTTCCGTTCCTCTCGCCTTCTTCCGTCCCCCTTGGCTCACCCGGATTCTTTCGTTATGTTGGAAAGAGCGTGTTCTACCGCTGATGGTGGAAAACCGGGGGGGGTCACTACCGGTTCGAACCCCCCCCCCCCTCCAGAAAACCGAGGGGGGTCACTACTGGTTCGAACCCCTCCCCCCCCCCGTTCATCATGAAAAGGGGGGGGGTCACTACCGGTTCGAACCCCCCCCCCCCCCTCGAACTCGAAAACCGGGGGGGGTCACTACCGGTTCGAACCCCCCCCCCTCGAAAACCGAGGGGGGGTGCGGACAGTGGTGGGGACGGTGGTGGTGGGGACAGTGGTGAGGGGACAGCGGGACAGTGGTGGGGACAGTGGGACAGTGGTGGGGACGGTAGTGGTGGGGACAATGGTGAGGACAATGGTGGGAACAGTGGGGACAGTGGGACAGTGGTGGGGACGGTGGTGGTGGGGACAGTGGTGTGGGGACAGTGGGAATGTGGTGGAAACAGTAGGACAGTGGAGGGTACAGTGGTGGTGGGGACAGTGGTGAAGGCGGTGGCGAGGACGGCGGTGGGACAATGGGACAGAGGTACAGTGGGGACAGTGGTGGGGACAGTGGGGACAGCAGCTCAGTAATTCGAACCGGTACCCCCCCCTCCGGTTTTCGAGGGGGGGGGGGGGGGTCGAACCGGTAGTGACCCCCCCCGGTTTTCGAGTTCGAGGAGGGGGGGGGGGGGTAGGGGAGGGGTGGGGTTTTGCCGCGGGAAGGGGGGGGGGGGGGGGAGGGGGTTCCAGCAGGGGGGGGGGGGAGGATTTTCGGAGGGAGGGAGGGGAGGAAGAGGGCCCCGGGGGTTCCGGAGGAAGAGGGCGGCAATTTTCCACAGTAAAGCGGCGGTGGATCACGCTCTCTCTTATGTTGTAACCCTCTCCATCTTTTACCATCCTCGGCATCATTCGCCCCATGCGCTGGTATGCCCAGTCGCCCAGTCGGTACCATGTGCACAGTGCACACAGCACAGCGGCTCAGCTCATGACTTCACGCACAACGAGTCGCATTCCTCCGTTCGTTCTCCTTCGCCTCCGTAAGCCATTCTGGCTCGAACCTGGGTCTCTGATCGGTATATCCATACTGTACTCCTCGGCGGCGAGGGAGGGGGGGAAGTGAGAAGGAGAAGGCCGTCTCAGAAGGTTCGGAAGTCCCCCGGACGTCTTAGAAGTTGTCCAAGTTTTCCCCGAACGCAAAACAAAAAACTCAGAAGGCACGAGGGCTTTGGAGTCCCGCCACCTCCTGAGAAGGCTTTCTCCTTCTCACTTCCCCCCCTCGCTCGCCGCCGAATTCCGTTCACGGCACCTTGCATCTCTCATCCGCGGAAGGAATGATGCGTGCGGGCGTCCTCTCTTGCCTCGCCCTGGCCGGGGCGGCGCTTCATGCCGACGTCCACCAGCACGGCTTCCTCCAGCGCGGGGACGAGCTCGAGGCCGGCCTCGGAGACGAGTCGGAGCTGAACGTCGGGGACGAGCTCGAGGACATGATCGAGGCCATGCTACGGGAGGGTGCGCGCCGCCCCTGAGACCCGGGCCTCTGCAGTGTTTTTCTCGCACCGGGCGTGGTCTCGCCCAGTGTGGGGCCCCAGGACCACCACGGATCGATCCAGCTCGAAGGGTGCCGCTGACAGCTGGGGTGTAGGGCTCCGGTTTTGAGTTGTGCAATGTTGCAGATGTTCGAAACGTTGGATCTCAGGGGCGTCGACGCGGCGGCGATTCCGCGGAGCAGTGGCAGGTGGAATGCCGCCCGCCAGTGGCAGGGTACCGGTCGACATTGGACGATTTGCTCAACGCAACGCCGCGACCCTCCAGG